CCCGCGCCCCACCCCAGAGCCAGCCGCATCCCAGCGCCAGGCGACAGGTCCCCATATACCCAGCCCCCGCGCCCCACCCCAGAGCCAGCCGCATCCCAGCGCCAGGCGACAGGTCCCCATATACCCAGCCTCCGTGCCCCACCCCAGAGCCAGCCGCAAGCCAGCGCCAGGGGACAGGTCCCCATATACCCAGCCCCCGTGCCCCACCCCAGAGCCAGCCGCAAGCCAGCACCAGGCGACACGTCCCCATATACCCAGCCCCTATGCTCCACCCCAGAGGGGCTGCGTCCCAGCACCGGGCCAGGGGTCCCCGTGTACCCAGCTGTCCTGGCGGGGGGCAGTGCTCCGTCCTGGCCGGCCCCTCGCTCCCTGCAGCCGGGCCAGGCTGGTTCTTTGGCAGCAGCCACAGTTATTTGTTTACCCCCCTCAAAAAAAGAAACACATCAGGAGTTTTTGCTTCTGGCACGTGGTTCCCTAGAGCCCTCCCCCCGGCCCCTCCCCCCGGTCTAACCACTGGACCCCACTCCCTTCCCCGGGACAGGGAGAGAACCCAGGAGTCCTGGCTCCCAGCCCTCACGCAGGCCGCCAGCACCCCAAGTTGGCCCAATCGCCCAGGCCTGACGCCAGCTCAGTGGGGCAGGCTGGAGATTGTACCAGACTCGGGGGATCAGCTCCAGGGGCTCGAGGCTCCGGTGTGGGGGGCAGGGCCAGGGGGGCAGGAGAAGGGGCCAGGAAGGTACCTCTGTGCCCTGGGATTTCCCCTGCCCAGCTCAGCCACCTCCTGCCTCTGAATCATCAGCACAGGCCCAACCCCGGCTGGAGAGATTCACTCCTGTATGTCACCTCCCCACCCCCAGCCCTGCCGGTGCCCCTCACTCCTGACCCACAGCCTCTGTTAGCCCGGCCCTGGGCTCCCCCGAGCTCTGCCAGTGCCCCTCACTCCCGACCCACAGCCCCTGCCGGTGCCCCTCACTCCCGACCCGCAGCCCCTGCCCAGCCCTGCTCCCACCCCCAGCCCTGCCGGTGCCCCTCACTCCCGACTCACAGCCCCTGCCCAGCCCTGCTCCCACCCCCAGCCCTGCCGGTGCCCCTCACTCCCGACTCACAGCCCCTGCTAACCCCTGCTCCCACCCCCAGC